CAGTCGACTTCACCCACACCGAGCATCAGGAGCCCCATTTCCCAGCTACCAGCGTGAAACAGCGCAAGGACCCGACCGATTTGCTGCGGCTGTGGCTGACGCTCACACCAGCGCAGCGTTTCCCTGCTGGGCACCTCGTAGCTGCAGCTCGCACGCGTTTCACAGCGTTTCCCTCGCTGCAGAGCGGCGCTCGCCGAGCTCGGCTCCAACCCCAGCTCTCAGCGCAGCCAGAAGGTACAGCATTGTTCTTGGCGGCAGCAATACGGGTATTTGCAAATACGTTTTTCAAGGCTAGTGACAATAAATGACATTCGCCTGTAGCAGCACGTCCGTAATTACACATCAGAAAGGGGCTCTGCTCTGCTCTCAACTCGTAACGCGCTGCTGCTGCACAGCAAGGCCGGCTGGAGGACGCCGCCAGCCTGGAAGCCCTCTCCTGTGTCTTGTTTTGCTTTTTCTTGAAGTGGTTAGAAGTAAAAAAATCAATCGATTTAGAACACAGACAGAATCACTTCACCGTTCTTTGGTACAGACATTGGCCACAATAACCGACTGGGACATCTGACACCACAAGCACACGGCGCGCCTCAAGTTCGGGAGGTGCTTGAAATTTTTGTTCTGCTATGGAGAGAAAAAAAACCAAGAAAACAAACCAGGAACTCTTCCAAAGAGCCACTGCCAGCCACGTGCCAGAATTTCTGCTGCTTTTTAAACACACACCATATTTGTCATTAATTTTATCCCTCCAAAGTCCAACTGGACAACCCCAGCTATCGCTTCCGCTCGCCTTTCTGTGTCCTCTTCTTCTCCTTTTCCTTCCGCTCCTGCTTGGCGAGCTTGTCCTTCTCTCGCTGGAGCTTATCTTGCTCTTTTTTCTTCTGGAACTCGTCTCGCAGCAGCTCCCGTTCCAGCTTCCTGGCGTTCAGGACGTCCTCCACGTTTGTGTTTCGGAACAGCGCTGGTGAGGAGTTAAGGGCAAACAAGGCTCTGGCTGAATTACTGTGGAGAAAAACAGCGGGTAATGGGTCCTCATTTACCAAGGCCACACCACAGCCTTACGAGTTTCTTAGCAGGTTTGTTTGGGTTGCACTTTAACAATCCCTGACGTGATTTACCTCTCTGGACACCAGTCAACGTGAAGCTGCTGTTCTGGGATAATGACCCTTGTTACCAGCAGGTTCTGTGAAGTTTCAGAGAGGGTGGAAGAGGGAAGGAAGGAACAGAGGAGGGAAGCAACAGGAGCTGTCTCGGCAGGGACACGGGGCAGGGAGCGCACAGACCTCGTGCCTTTCGTTACCAGCAAGGGCAGGCTACACGAGAAGGAAAACCATCACCACGCTGAAACGCGGCCCTGCGGAAACCAGGGGTACCAGCACGGGCAGGGATGGATGGGACAAACTCCCTGGAAGCTGCCTTCCTCCCAGAGAGCTCGAGTCACTGCGAAGCCAAAGGATACATTTCTCTGATCCGATATTCACTGCTGTCGCAATCGATCCGTTGTGTTCATCCTCGCCAGTGAGAGAATTAAGGAAGCACAGACCTCTGTAATGAATGCATGCCTCTACAGACAGTGTCACTTAACTCAAAACATGTGGCTTGGTAAAACTGTGGTTTGACAAGGAAGAAGCTAAAA